GAGGGTGAAGGAGGCAGTGTGAGACAGTGGTTGGAGCTGAGGCTCTGGGGGAGAGGCAGAGGGAGGCAGTGTGGGACAGTGGTTAGAGCTGAGGCTCTGGGGGAGAGGCAGAGGGAGGCAGTGTGGGACAGTGGTTAGAGCTGAGGCTCTGGGGGAGAGGCAGTTCTGGCTGCCATCAGACACACGCGCCGATCAGCAGGGAGAAATGGCTGTGGAGTGGCGCGGAGTTTGAGCCCTGAGCACCTCGCCTGTCCCCCTCTGTGCTCAAGCAGGCTGGACGGGCGCCGCCAGCGGTTCAGTTCCTTCCATCTGGCGGTGTAGGACCACACGACCGCTGGCGTTCATTCAAAACCCGGGAAGATATCCGGTCACTCTCCTTCCGGCTGATCCCCGAGCAGCCATAACCCTCGTGCGACACGGCGACCACAACTGCGCACCACGTTCTTAAACAAGGCCCGACCAGCGCATAGCACATTGACCTGTCCCTCCAAACTGCACAAGGGCAGCAGCTGGTAAACCCCGGAATGGCTCAGACCGCTAAGCCTCGGGAGTCGGACGCCTCTGCCGACAAAGAGGAGACAGAGGGTGAAAACGGAGCTCTCCGGCGTCTCTCTACCGAGCGGCGTCCTGGTCCGGCTCTTACCCGTGCCTCCCATTTCTGGACAGACGCTGATGTCTCACCAGAGGCCTCCCAGAAGACATCTGAGGCGCGTTGTGCGATACTCCGCTCGGCTAGGGCTCTAAGGACAGAGGCGCGCTACACAGCTCCCACTCCCAGGCCCAGTAAATCATCAGCACGCTGTCCATATATCTCAGGCTGAGTCCTGTAGCTTACCCTCCCTTCTGGAGACTGTCAGCACAGCTAAAACTGGACAATTTATGGCTGGCGCTGGGGAAGAGGCCGCTAGCGCTGTTTTTTTTTTTTTGTTTGGACATCCCAGTGCCTTAAGGTGAACAAGACTTCTCTGTAGTACAAGAGTGACCCCCCCATCACCACCAGCTTTGTCAAAAATATAATACAAATATATACAAAAACATATCTACCTTCCAGAACCTTCCCGGGGTCTATAACACGCCTTAACGGGGCTCGCCTATCAGCTAGTAAAAACTAGAAAATGAGAGATGACGACGAGGGCGAGACCAGGGAAAAACGCGTTTTCTCTAGGAAAAAAAGGAAAGTCGCTTCCCCGTTCAGCACAGACAGCGATCGTCGTCAAATACGTGGAATATTGTGTTTTCACCACACACACACACAAACAC